TTCAAACATAACCTATAAAACGTATAGAGTTAGGGCAGGGCATATTTTTTTTTAGATGTTTATTTTTTAAAATTATTTTTACGTTTATGAAGTTTTTATATTATTTTAAAATGTTCTATTTTTTTTTTAAGGGTTTTAAGATTATATAAATGTCAGTTTTATTTTTCGTATGTTTCTATAAGTCTCTATGATTTTAAATGTTAAAGTTAGATTTTTATAGTGTCTAGAAATTTTAAAATGAGTGTAGAAGTTTCTACAATATATTTTCCTTATATTACTAATAGTCAAAGCTATACAAGAAAGCTTATGTTACAAATATAATGCAAGCTTCTATGTAAATTGTTGCCTCTTGGCCAAACTTGGTTAACATACCTTTCATAATGCCTTTAAAAATATCTTTGGATTTGAAACTAATAATATCTAATTCCTTTTTGGGCAGGGGTGGTAAAAATTTTATTTGATATAAAACACTTAATCTTTGACTTTTTCAACTGCATGGGAACATTTTTACAAATTAAATACAGTTTGTTCATCATCCAAGGTAAAATACTCACTGCTATAAAGCATTTAAGATTAAGTCCTTTTGATGACCAGGGCCCAATAGTACAAAATGTAAAGGCAACATCTTTGAAATTTCCTTCAGATTATAATGGGATAAATTTGAAAAATTTACTTATTTATATTATGAAAATTTATCTGATTGCATATTATAGCGCACCTATCTTAAGGATTACTAAAAATGATCAATTTGGAATGAGGATCCTATTATATTTTAATTAATTTAACATTGATGAATAACTTTTTTTAATAAGACATCTTTTAAAAGTTAGATTTGTCTTTAAATCATGGTTATTGGCTGCACTCGGCTTGAATATCAACTCAAACAGGATTGGTACCAAATTCAATGTTAACAAGAGCTGTTATAAATGTGGCTTTTTATACCAAATTGTTTTTTAAAATTTCAACTGGTATTTTAGGGAAGTTTTTTTGACAGGCCCCTAAATTTACATATACGCTAATAACGCTTTTAATGTTTTTTTTGCCAAACACAAACCCAAGCAAACAAGGGTATATCGGCTAGTTTAATATATTATATCACACTTCCTAAAACCTTGTGTCATATCAAATTAATTACAAATAATTAATTTTGATTAGAATTTGTTTTAATGATAATGTATCAACTTTTAATAAAAAGAAATGATTGAAACCAAACAGGCCTTATTTCCATGTATACACCCCACACACTATATAGCAATATAAAATATGAGGCCCTCGTCCTCTTTTAGGCTCAAAGTTGGACCATTATTTTTTTTAAACAACTTTTTAAATTAATAAGTTTAATAACACTAAAATGTTTTTATATGTTTTTATATATATGCACAGGGGGTTACCAGAAATTTGATCGAAAGAAATTTGGTCAACGGTAAATTGATCAACAGTAATTTCATTGAACGGAAATTTGGTCGAATCTTTTTTTCAGTTCACATGTTAAAGTTTGCTTCAAATTTCTTTTTGAATGCACTGTACTATATAGTAAAACAAAATAATGCATTCAAAAAGAAATTTGAAGCAAAATTTTAACGTAACAACTGAAAAAAGATTCGACCAAATTTCCGTTCTATCAAATTACCATTGATCAATTTACCGTCAAAGAAATTTCTTTCGATCAAATTTCCGGATACGGCCCAGGGCCATGCAGGAGATTTTTGGGCCTTGATCAAATCCAAATTTTGGTCACCTACAAGTTCAAAATAATTCTATTAAACATCATTTTCTGTCCTTGAGGCTTGGGGGCCCTCAAGCAGGCAGGGCACGGAGGTAATTTCTCGGTTGCCTTGGCCTCTGCACAGCCCTGTGTAGGCTGATTATTAACAATTTATATTGACACTTTTAAAATTAAAAATAAGCTGGATAATATTGTTAATTATTTTGATTTTGTGAATCTGAGTTGTGAAATAAGATACAACCTAATTTTCTTAATTAAAAAAACTGGAAATTAACTTTTCTAGTGAAAAAAACCTAGCACTACAAATTACTACATCTGACAATAACCTTCCCACATAAAAAAATAACCAAATAACATTTGAATTTGTGTCAATGAATGTTGTGACTTATATTATTAATATTTTTTGAAGCAGTAAGAGCAATCATATTTCTCCAGATAGGATAATATGTAATTTTATTGGGATAAAATCTGCAAGAACATGTTCATTGTCCTATACACATTTTTAAAAAAATAGTATATATTTTAGATTCATTTTGATATTCTGTTCACCATTTTCATTTAATGGCTGAAATGGAAATAGTTAGCTTTTATTTATAGTTATAGAGCCAGTGATAGAGTTAAAGAGTTGTTATATTATATTATATAAAACCAGATTTGGTGGGTTAACGACACAAGGCACAATCACAAGGGGATAGACTCGCTTATTTTATTCTGAAATCCCCCAGATCAGAATATTCAGATTCATAGCTTGAAAATGTCAATGGCCGTCTGGCCTGCCAGTGCTAGTGCTAGTCCTTAGTCATGTCTGATATTCAATTATATGTCTTAGCATTTAATAATTTATACCATATTTGCAATAAAAATAGTGTTCAACTTCTTAAACTTAAACAAAAGCGGTTAATTTTTTTCTAAATAAATGTTTTACTATTGGAATATACTGGTAAATTTGCGTTTTTGTGTACCCTTTTCATTGTAGGCGTAGGTCATCGACGTTTTTTTAAAAATGGCGAGCTCGTGAACTATTGTCTGTGCATAGTTTTAAAAGAAATATTTCAGGAAAACATTATTTTATATTGTAAATGATATTAAAACTAAAAGAAAATATAAATTCCTTTATGAAATTACTGTTCTATAGTTATAAGATAATTCATAAAATTAAAAATTTACCGATTAAAGGTGTGAATATACGATTTATAGGTGATCCGATTGTGCGACACTGACTAAAAAAATAATTTTTTCTCCTATTAAAATATTAAAAATTTGTCATAAATCTATTTTAAATTTTAAGAAAATTTATTTAAAAATAACTAGAATTAATAAAAGTCCCATCTTCATTTAGTTAAAAGGTTTCATTTAAGATTCTAAGCTTGTCATCTCGACTTCTTTACTTGGCGATGAGGCCCGAAAAATTTAGTTTTTAAAATAACTTAATAAATAAACATAATATTTGTAGCAATAATTGATAATTTATGAACTTCTGTATTATATTAACCTAATGCGATATGTATCTTTGGTGTCATTTAGCTACAGTCAAATTTTAAAATGTGATATATCGTACATTTTCGCCATTTTCAACGGACGTTCGGAAGGCCCGAAGGGGAAGAAACGGTCTGTGACGTAGATGCTCTCCGATATGTCCGCGCGACCATATTTAAGATAGCCGTTACCTTTGGAATAGCATTCAGTTGAGTTCACTCGCTGAGCGTTGCTACTACACCGTCTTACGTGCGATTCATCTCGTGCTTAGCCGTATCCATTACTTCATCATGTCTGACGTCGATGCCGCTCCTGCCCCTGCTGCAGCCACAGCAAAGCCCAAGGCAACCAAAAAGAAGGCCGCAGCCTCCAAGCCAAAGACACCGGCTGCTCACCCACAGTACAAATTAATGGTTGCCGCTGCTATCAGTGCCCTGAAGGAAAGAGGTGGCTCTTCGAGACAGGCCATTCTCAAATACATCATCGCTAACTACAAAGTGGGAGACAACCCAACAGCCATCAACGCCCGCCTCAAGTCTGCTCTTAAAGCTGGCGTCAAAAACGGAGGTCTCAAACAGTCCAAGGGCACCGGCGCCGCTGGATCTTTCCGCCTTGGTGATAAGGCGGAACAGAAACCGAAGGTGAAGAAAGCAGTTGCAAAGAAGCCCAAATCTCCCAAGAAGACTGCGAAACCTAAGAAGCCAGCTGCTGCCCAAAAGCCAAAATCACCAAAGAAGCCCAAGAAAGCAGCTGCCCCCAAGAAAGCCAAGTCTCCAAAGAAGCCCGCTGCTGCAAAACCTAAAAGTAAAATAGCAAAGACTCCCAAGAAACCTGCAGCAGCTAAGCCCAAGGTTGCCAAGAAACCAACTGCAGCAAAGAAGCCTAAAGCTCCCAAGAAGGCTGCGGCAGCAAAGAAAGCATAAGCTTTCCCGACATTACATTTCATCGTCAAAATAGGTCCTTTTGAGGACCACCCCCAGAAATCCAGGAGATTCAGTCGCAAGACTAATAACCAATCCTCAATTGTCTTTCTTTTGGAACACTACTCTTCTTAATCCCTTTTTTCCTGTAGAACATTATTCTGCATTCCTTTTCTGCATCTTTTTTTACCGTGACAAGATTATTTTCTTGCATTTCGGTACGGTACTGGATAGTTTATTTTTATATCTTTCTTTGCACTTTCCTGTTTACACTTCTCTCTTATCTTAGTTGGGCCCATCGTATACGTATTCCATCAAACGCTCTGCCTACTTTAATATTGCATTTTCATTGCTACACAAAGAGTATAATGTCGTCACAGTGGTAGCTAGGACCATGTAGTAGTAAGTAGATCACTAAAAATTAAAGCTTAGTACCGGTACCTGAAGTGCCGCGATTTGCCGACCACTGCCTTACGCAGACAAGCGTAAAGCATTTATTAATCATATTCAAAATATGAGTACAGGCAGTGGCGTAGCTAGTTACATGTACACTAACTTGCGAAAGGTGTACACATTTTTTGTCTCTCCCCCATGATGTTTGTATTCACACCTTATATAAATATAAGTTATATTTTCTCTCCGTTTTCTATTTTATAATTATAATAATGCACTCTTCATTATGTTTTTGTGCAGGGATTTGGTATGTCCTGGACAATTCCTTGATACTGTTAGTTGAAGAGGCAGAATTAAATCATAAAGGGAAAAAAGTTTTAAAATACTAAACTTTAAATGAATGCCTGGGTCCTCTGCACATTGAGTATTGACCCAAAAATTGACAAGTGTTGGACACGCTTTCAACAAAAATACAAACTTTTGTGTTGAGTATAGTGTTACCTTTATTATTTATGAATTTATGGTACTGGTACATAACCAGTAAAATTATGAACAACAACCATGACACATTATCTACAGCTAAATATATCTTTAAGATTAAAAATGCTGACATGTAATGTAAGAAAGAACAGTTCAAAAATTCTTAGCGGTGTGATTTGCAGGGTCAGTTGGTCAAACCTGGTAGTAATTTTAGAACAGCTGTTCTTAACCTTTTTAGTTCAGTGACATCTTAATTATTTTGTTAAGTTCTAGCAAACCATGATTATTTCTTGTTGCAGGCCCGCCTCAGCGGGGGGGGGATAACAATGGCAATTATAAAGGGCCCGAGCTAGATAGGGACCCGCCCTTTTTCGAGTTTTAAAGTATATGCACATGTTTGAAACACGAAAGGGGTCCAAACTCTGTCAGCTGCCTGGGCAGAATTTCCTAGGTGCAGGCCCTTGCAATTAAGAAACGGGTGTTGAGGACTTGTATTAAATGAAGTCGGCACTGTATCCGGAAATATGATCGAAAAAACCCACTAAACATTAAAATATCCATTACATTATTTACATTCAATACCTGTGCCGACTGGTATGCCAAAAAGGGCTTGCCAAAGAAAAATTGCAGGGCACCACAAGAGGAGGGAGAAGAAGAGGAAGACAAAGAAAAAGATTGGAGGATAACATCAAAGCGTGGACAGGACTAACACTGGGCGATGCTGTGCAGAAGACAGCGACGAATGGAGGATAGTTCACATGTCATCTGTGACGGTCCAAGGGATATGATGATGATGATAGTGCGATCAAAAAGAAATTGGACAAAAATTTTAACATGTGAACTGAAAAAACGATTAGACCAAATTTCTTTCGATCAAATTTCCGGTAACCAGTCGGCACAGGTATTGAATGTAATGGATATATTTTAATGTTTAGTGGGTTTTTTTTAATACTAATCATGAATTCTCTTAATTAACCCATAATCATTTTTTTAAAATACAGCCATTTGGTGTTCTTTTCTTCTTTTATTAATAAAAAAAGTGCATAAATATCAAATTGTAATGTTTGTTACACAGTGAATGCGGTAATTAAAAGTTTCAAAATGTCAGTAGAAGCTACTCTGGAGACCTTACCATTCACGGTACCATACCATACTTCATGAGTATGTACAATAGGCACTTTAAAAGTAACTGAATTATAAAATTACACAGATGGTCAACAGACATTCCTTCATTCACAATTACAGTACAGACATTCAATGAGAGTAAAAATTTAACATGAATAGACTCATACATATCATAAAAATAGCCCATTGGAAAGAATGGACATCTGTGTCAGTCTCTTCAAGCTGAATATCAGCGACATCTCAGATTACAAACAACTACTTGTAAATGAGATTATAGTATTTTAAAATTAATTTTTATGAGCAGGAATTCATGAGATATTTTGTGCCCTAAGTAAAGCCATCTATATACGGCTTGATATGAATACCGTACCCAGTAATAATAAGATGTTCAAATAAAAAAAAAAAGGAAAATTCAGCCAGAAAAAAAACTTAATATTATATGTGACTTTGCCTGTTGATCTGTTGATTCTTAAAAATGGTACTGAACAAATACAAAAACATTCTTATAATATAATTTATATTAATTTTAAAATATTTTTATTTTCAATGTCTGTTCAAAAGAAAAAAGTTTTCACAATGCTAAATGAAATGGAACAAAATCCACTTTAAGATAGGACACTTAATCATCTGACGGTTTCATGAAAGATTTGGATCTTGGCTCTCCACTTTCATCATCATTAGCTTCATCATTACGTTGTCTTTTCTTTGAAAACTTCTTGGCTATAATACCCATGAGTGAGGAATACCTGACATAGAGTGAAACATAGCTGTTAATAAGTCAAAAACAAACAAAATAGCCAACTCAAGATAAAAAATACTTAAGAGATATATTACTTGATAGATTTGATTAGATGAAAATGTTAAATTAAAATTTATAATTGAGAGTTCCATGCAGAGTTGTTATATTTAGTAGCACAGCCAGGATTCAAGTCCTCAGAAGAAGGTCAAGATTTTAGCCACCCCCGTTGGTGGAAAAGAAACTCCGTAGTTGGCCAAAAATGCAGCCCCACACAACATAATTTTTTTATAAAGTGTCGTCCAAGGCAGACTGCCCCTCTTACTACACCACTGGGTACGAGTACATTAAATATATATACAGTACACGTTGTATTGTATACAAACTTTGATCCAAAAAACAAATGACAGTGTAAAGTGTATGTTTAAATTTTAACTGAACTCCAAACTAAGACAAAATTAAATCTTCTGACTCACCTTTGTGCCATGTCCTGGTCACTGACACTGTTTTGTTTCTCCTTTTCATCTGATACCTTCAGCTCTTGCTCAAGCTTATGTGCTTGCATCAACTTCTAAAGAGTCCAAATGGAATCAAACTTTTTAAAACATTTGTTTTGATTAATATTAATTCCCTTCCATCTTATCTTTTTCTTCTTTTATATTTTAAGTAAGGGCTCACGATCATTTATTTGTCATTTTGGCTCCTATGCATGTAGAGTGGATTAGCAATGATTCTGTGCCATCTAAATCTAAGAACTATGGTACAGTACTCTATTAATTTAAAAAATTCTTCTAAAAGATCCCCAATGCCAAGTTTTAAACAGTTAATTAAAATGTAACCATGATATGGTATTTAACCACATAAGTAATGTGATCATAACACCAAATGCAAGGTAACATGCAGCTATGCCTATTGCATTAAATTATAAGTTGATATAAGACCTAACAATTGTATAGTATTTATTAACTAATATTTAATATTAATGCCCATAAGAATAATTTTAAAGAGGACATTTTGAAGAAAAAAAAATTAATTACACATTAGTATACCGGTACCTCAATCTCTGGGTTACACCCTAGAAATGACTGTCTCCCAAACTGAAGCTGTTCACAAATGACATAGCTTTGATCTTTCAGGTATTTTGACCTGAAAATGCAATTACCAGTACCAGTATATGACAAGTTTACACAAATGAACATGCAAATCATAGTAATTTAAGATCAATAAATATATTACGATAATAAGAAAATATTGATCAGACAGTTCACTAAGCTGTAACTATAATATTTTTAATTTGTTTAAAGTTTTAATTATAATAAAACAAGACCAGTACCAAACAATACAGAAATCAATTGCTTATTTCTATTAAATTTTTTTAAATACGGTACTTTTTGGAACATCTTTAAGTTTAAGATATGAAGCAAATTTACCAATTCAAATTCTTACCACTTATATTTATAATAAATTTATATATTGAAATAAACCTATGAACCAATATAGTAATATAGTTACATTATCTTCAATGTGAGAGCTGTGATTTTTATCAAGTCTGTTTATGACGCTGACCAAGAAAATGTACAATCAAATTCATCGTTATAATTTAGGGGTGCCTTCCAACCATTTATGATTTAGGGAAAAAAGGGCCAAAATTATTGTGTAATTTTATATGGTCACATGTCAAAGTTGTACACTTTTTTATTTTACAACTGTGCATATGATCTACTTGTACTATAATAGCCATTTGGATGGGAAAAAATGTTTCTCTTCATTTTAAGTGATTGCTATAGTTATACCTTGTATGAAAGTGAGCCTGGATTTGTAAAAAAATAGTTGACAGGTTAAGGATTTGTAAAAAATAGTTGATAGGTCAAATGAAATAATAGTTTTTTTTTGATGATTAACAGAAAGAACTGAAATTTGTTAATTTAACAAGTTATTTCTAAACTGTCAAAGTTAAAACTCACTATGTTTTTACACCAGGACTCTAAAAGCACAATAAAAATACACTATTTTATCTTTAAATTATTATTTAAAAAATATATGCACAAAATATTCTGAAACTTACTCCTTTATTTGGTAGTCAGGTAAATCTAAAACCCAGTGCTCATCATCAATAACTTTTTGTTTGTCCTCTTCATTTTGTTCCTTTTCAAGCCTTAACACACTTCTTTGCATAAACTGAAAAACATTTTTTTATGACATTAGTCATTAGGCTAAATCATTAGATCTACACGTGGCACTTGGGTACTAAGCATACGGAGAAAAAAATTACTTAAAATTACAGTAGGACATTTACATTTACAGTTACAGAAAGAACTAATGACATGATGAAAGAGTAATAACATCTAATCAATAAATATAATTATTATAATTGAAAGAAAGTATGTTGTAATGGTGAGTTCAAAAATGCACAAAATAAAATTTCAGATAACTGCTCTAAAACTAAATGAATGGGATCTTCAATTACTGCAAGTGCATTTGGTGTGTAATATTTTCATTTGTTTTACTGAAATGGTCTCAATTTAATATATAAATATGTTGTAAGACATATGCTGTGTAAAAAAAAAAGGGGTGGGGGGGACGACATCATAATATTAATAGTTCAGTGGCATGAAAAAGAGTGCAGCAAAATATGTAAGGTGTTAACGGGGGGAGGAGGGGTGTTAGCATTAATAGTAATAGGGATCATTAATTTATAAAGTGCATTACCAAATCTAAATTATCACTAATTAAGTCATTATTGTTACTAGAGGAGCGCAATGATGGTTGATTTTTATGCTAGAGAAATACTTTAAATGTCTTGTGTTTAAATTTATATAATTGTAAAAATATGTATTTATTTATGTGCTCCGGGTATGTACAAGCAGTAAAATATTTTTTTTAAACATTTCCATTTACTTGGACCAAGAAAAGAATCTGATCTCATCTTAGTTTTGTTAAGTACCGGTAACTTTAACTTTAGTAGATGGTAAGTTACGCACTGTGGCTGCCACTGTGAATACTTTAACAGAGAATAGTTTCACATGTCAGACAGTGATAGGACCCTCTAATACTAGTAATACTCAAACATTTTTATCAATAATCAATAATTCAATGTTAAACTCACTTTCATCTGAAGAACATTTTTGGAGAGATGAGAGCCTGACTTCTTTGCAGCCATATTTGCCTTGTTATCAGTAATTTGAGTACCGGTAAGGCTTTTTAAATTGGTTCAAAGGACATCAAAATTTTAAGAAAAAAATCAAGTGTATCCCATTTGCCATTTTATCTCTGCAATCAATAAAGAAAAATTTTACACAGGTCCCTGTTCATATTTAAAATGATGTTTAGTCAGGAAACATTCTATAAACTTATGACTTAATTCAGAAAGGCAATGTCTGTGACACTACAGTACGCTTTGGTTAGTGTAGCTTGCTGAACACTATCTAATTTATTTTAATATAAATATAAAGAGATAAATTTTGTTTCTCTCTTGCCGTTTTCTTTCTTTTTCTTCTTCTTTTTTTTATATTTTTTTATTTCAGGAGATGATGAAGAGTCTGACTGAAGATGCTGATGAAGATCCCGATCTTTAAAAAAATGAATAAATCTAAGTCACCAATTATCGGTGGCTTTTACTTTTACTAGGTAACTGTAATACTAATTACTATTATTACTATTAGACTGGTACCCGGACACTTTCTAAGACTAACTAAAGTCACTAAACTAACGTTTAGTCTTAAGTCTTAAGTATAAAATAAAAGTATTAGCCTATATTTTAAAAATCAGTAGGACCCTAAGATTAAGCATGACCTAAGTAATAATTTTTACATAAGTACATTGAAGATTTTATAAATAAGAAGATTAACTTAATCATTCAGTAAGACTTAAGACTTAAGACTAAGAGTGGTCAGTAGTCGTAATCTTGGTCCACACTGACACTGTCACTAGTGACTAGTGTCACCACAGCCCACATACACAGTCACACAGAAAATTACTAAACTTAAACTGATTCACTAAGTCTCTACATAATAATAATGTATTAATACTACAAAACAGTATCCAGGCACAGTGTTAGTTGTTACACTTACTAAGTTGGGCTAACTGCTAGAGTAACAACTAACTCTAACTAAGCGACCAATTTTTTTCGAAATTTTGACAATGATTTTGGAATGGTTTCCGACGCGACTAGTTGAGTTTATAAATAGAATTAAGCATAACTGATCTAATTATAATATTAATAATTATTGGTAAGCCTACTTTTTTAATGGAGAGAGAAAAAAAAAGCTTAAATTACAATTAGACTACCTCACATGTGTTAGTTTCACAGCTTTCTCAACCAGGCTTTAACCATAATAGAAGTGGTTCCTCTATTTGCCGAGATCTGCATTTTTAAGCTGTTCGAGGATTGTTGAAAAAACAATAGCAAGACATTTCTTAAAAAGTTGATTAAGGTTTCAAGCGAGAATGATAAAATTAGGAAGAGTTTTTCTCTACTCAAATAGTACCAAAAACACATGATGTGGCTCTTCAGACCCTGCGTAGGCATCAGATATTTAATTAAAAGGCATAATGTTGTGATGAGTAAAAAAAAATAAATTAATATGCACTAAAAAGTGGCTGGGGCCTCCAAAAGTCAGGCGACTGCTCTAGTGGCACCTCTACCAAGTGGCGCACCTCGACAAATGCCCTTGCCAACTTTAAAAAAAAAAAAAAAAATCAAAGTCTTCACAAGTTTTACAGACAACACATAATTTACGGATTTTTTGCACAGTTTTGAAATAAACTCAAGAAACTACACAAAAGAATTGAAATATCCCTACGACAATGTCCTCACAATCAACATTCTTGACCTTATAACTTGAAAGTGACAAAATCGCAAGACCATAAAGCCTCTTCTGTTCCGTGGTAAATCACAAAATAGATATTTGTAAGTTTCAGTTTTGAAAAGATCTTCTCAAATGAAGGCATAGACACAGATTGTGAGTGATAAATGTAGGTTTGGTGAAAGGATGTAGAGATTCTAGAAAGATCCAACAAAACCATATAGCTATTAATTTCAAAACTTAAAATATTGATTAATCTTTGGCTTCGTCAAGATTAATATCTGCTGCTTTTAGGTGTCTTCTCAGCTTTGTTACCAGTATTTCAATAGCAAGTTCACTTTCAGATAGCTCATCATTTTTGAAATGGACACTACCAACTCTTCTTCCCTCGCCAATAGTAGACTCTTAGGTTGAGCAGCCTCAAAAATATCTGCTGCTCCTTGATAGCACTTGATTTTGAGTCCAGAATGAAAGTGATCTATATACTCAATAATCGCCCTTTTGTTGTTGTTGTTGTCTGGCGTTTCTTAAATTGCTCTCATGTAATTTTCTTTTCGAAACCCGTTCTCTCTACTGAAATTCCTTACTAGTAAATACTAGTCGTAAAAGAGCTTTTTCATTAGCATACTCCAGTATTTGACTGTGCTTCTCGCTTTGCTACTTTACCACTATACCTTTTTGTCGAGAGTTAAGCCTTTAGTAAACAGACAATGCTATATAAACGTCCTAAAAAGTTATTATGTACATCATTAGGTTAAGTCCACCACTTTCTAGTTTTTAAGAGTGTCAGGAATACGATCATCAGTGTGTCCACATTTAAAGGGAAAATCATGGAATCAATTCTCTCTCGTCAACTTTGCCATCGTATAACTTCACATCTCATCACCTCAGGCATCTGGTCACTGAGTGACGGTCAGGAATGTCGTCGAACATGATTTCAAAATACCTCGCATACTTTGTATCCATGACAAGCCTCTCCTGCACACGATTTGCCAGAGCATTTAAAAGCACATTATGAGATTTTAATGCAAGGTAAGGTACACATGTCTGATTGCACCTTGCAATCAAACTTGTATTAAACTTGGATAGGTTATTAAGCCGACTCGAGCGAACTGTGTCGATTTAGAAATTTTCACAAAACCTCAGTCGGTTACTTTTACTAAAATGACACCCCATTTGGCTGTTGATTAATATGTTAATGTTTGGTATTGAGAGTTTGTGTATACGGAGCTATACCAATTATGTTATTGTACTGAAGAATCTCGGTTTGTGACTACTACGAGCACCGTACTGGTAATGCTTAGTTCACACGAACAAATTTTCGTAAAATTTCTTTTTGAACGCACTATTTTGTGTTACAACATAATGCGTTAAAAAAGAAATTTGATTAAAATTTGATCGTGTTAAAACTGAGCATAACTGAGCATATCGGGATACGAGCATAAATTATGAATACATTTTGTATTTTATAATTCATAACCTTTGAAAATTAGCTTTTAAGTGTATTTATATGTGTATTTATGGACGTGTGAAACGAATAGCGTGAATTTCCTTTATTTCTTATGGGAAAAATTGCAACTGCAAGGGGCCTCGGATATTTAAAGGTTCTAAAGGTATGACATGGAAACAATTGAAATAATCAACATTGCATGCAGAAGAACCGAAACGTGTCAATGGGCCTCCAAAAGTCCCACCACGGCTTTGAGGAAACTGGTAATCGGTTTTCACAATCCGGTTATCGATTTTTATACAGCATTCCCAATTGCTCCATACAACCAGGTCAGATTGACATTAAGTTGTAAAGCATGTATAAGCAATTGTGTAGCTAGGGTTAGTGCCGCTCGGGGTGGGTCAAGTTTTTTTCTTTTTGCCGCTCCCCTTCTGTAGCTGGTCGAAAATGCCGCACGTCATTATAAAGAAAAAATGTGCCGCCCATGGCCGACCGCTCCTCCGCACTGCCCTTCCTACGCCACTGCATACATGGCCATTGAAAGTGTATCAATTTGTCAAACTGAAAGTCAGAGCAATTGTTCTATTTTGATACCACAATTTAGTACCAACACTTAAACACAGTGAATCGTGCGGAGTTATTTATTTTTCAGAAGTTTATTTGCAATGTACTGTTGTAAACCTCTCCTATACCTCCGCAAACTGCGGTCTTACCATTTAATACTATGAAAAAGACAGGCCCTGCACCAGCATGTTAATGGGAAACCCTTATGTTTAGCCCAACATTGAAATCAATGTCGAAAGGAGAATATTAAGATAAAGAGTGGTACGCTTATAGACAGAAGAAACGCTTCAAAGACACAATGAAAGCCTCATTGAAAGTTTTCTGCATATACCCTGACTTTTAGGAACAATATCCAAAGAATCGAGCCTCTTGGTGCTTTATGGTATACACAATGGGTCCATGAAACTGTTGTCAATAGAACAGCTGCTGCAAAACACGAAAGACATTCCAGAAAAGCCAAGAGTCACTATTGGACCCGGAAAGGTCACACATTTCACCTGCATATACTTCATAATAAAATAGTGTGCCATAATCGATGTCATCAGGAAACTTCGTTCCCAAAGACAGAACCACCCCCGCGTAATATTTTCATTTGTTTTCGGCAACAAATTGGATGATTAAATTGGTAGCCTACTCGTTGAGCCAATGGATCGCGTGAAAAGCAGATGATGGAGAATCTATGTTTATTACCAGGGACTAAACTGCGATCTGCTCTTAGGGGCCATCCATAAAGTGAGCCACGCTCCGGAGGAGGTGTGGAGTCTAAGAAAATTTGGCAATTTGCGACACAGGGGTGGGGGGTAAAGATAGTGTGTGACGTCACACATTTTAGATTTCTTTATCGTACAAATAAAACGTGAAATTGAAATTGATCTTAAACTTTCTGTTGTGGTAGATGTATTCTGTTAGAAGATTCCACTTTTAAACATTAAATAGTTTAATAGTATAATAATAATAATCATCATCAGTTGTGCTACAGCCCATGTAGGGCCCTGGCCTGTTCCACCTCATCCTTCGAATCGGATCGATCAATGGCTTTCCACCTCCATGCGCGGACCCCTAGCTGGTGTAAATCCTCTATATACATCGTCGATCCATCTCAGTCTTGGTCGACCGGTGAGCCGTGCAGGCTTAGAAAATTCCAGGCCACTATACATAATTTATGACCTTGTCCAGAAGTAAGTCGGAATCCAAAAATATCAGTACGTTTTTCTTTTGTGATTTAGCTTTCGTAAAATAGGATTATTTACGTGACAGGGCGTACAGCCCTGCGCACAACCATCTGGTGAGATGCCCCTTGGAACTCTCAGGGTAGCTGCCTTTGTATTGTATCGGGTCACAAGCCTTTGTGGATCCCTTCACTTACCACAAAGCAGCAGCTTCTGATTTTGGTCCGTGACGAGTATTTTATTTCCCCGGTACCCGCCATATCTGGTATGCATTCTCCTATCCACCACAATGGGAGGCGCTCGAGCGAAGATCAGTATCTTCACACGAGAGTTCAATAGAGTTTTTGAATCCTTTATATTAATTAACTTTGCTTTTGTTTGTGGCTGGCTGGGACGATCTTCGGAGGGCCAATTGACTCACTTCCCGC